ACGGACACGGCTTACTTCGTATTTGGTAACTTTACACGAAAGTCATGTGTTGGACACATCAGATATTTTTTAGTGTAAACGTTCTTACAATAGAATAAAAATTTTACAAAATTTTCTATTTATCTATTTTACGTAACCCTGTCAAAATGTTCAAAAAATGTTCTATTCAATAAAATAAAAATCAGCCATGATTTTGTAATAGAATTATGATAAACTAAAATATCGGCTTGAATTCAGTGATATAATACACGCCTTTTGAAAATTTTACATTAAAAAGAAGTAGAAAGATTTTTCAAAATTTGATAACAGACAAAAGTAAACGCAACAGACTTGAAAAATTGTGGAAGTTCTTAATATTTTCATTACCGAATAAACCAGTCTTTCTCTAAAATCATCGAACTGTCAGAAGTAAGGGTTGGAAACCCAAGTGCTTAGTCCGTTCCTGCTTTTCTAGAAGGTTTGAAAGTAGGCAAATGTGTTTATATAAAACAACTTAATTCATTTTATAATTTGCCCGAATTATTTGAAATTTTAACGATTACTTCTAGTTACTACGATAGATTTCATATTATCTACTTTTATTACTACCAATTACTGTTTATTATATCTGTGTCTTCTAATTTCTGTAGTTTACATAAATGTATTCTTTTCAATTCATTATTTGTTAATTTTATTGTTTTTTTTTTTCATCATACTGCAACATACTTAATAAAAGCACATACGCGAGCCTGTCTATTCCTCAAATGGTTTTCCGGTGGACCATGACGAATATCTTCGCCTTATGAGTATTTTGTCTTGTTATTTAAAATTATACTCATGCTAAATATTATTATAACCATAGAAAAACTAAAACAGAAGGTTTGAATAATAGGCGGGAATGGTTTCCTTGTTTGTAGTTTATCATATCGCGCTTCACGCGCTGCGATCACTAAATATGAAGCTGTTTTTATAACAGCACTGGTTTCTTTCCAGAATGCCATTATTAAGGGGATTTGATTGTTAGGGATCGGTAATTGTCAGTCATTTAGAGGTTTGTCTTAATTCACTGATAGAATGGTCCTTATTATTGCGTTAATAAATTATAATATTAATATAAATAAAAAATAGCAGAAATCATACAGTCGGATCTTAAACTATTATTTTTCATCTACAAATGTCTTATGCGTTCACCTCATAACTTTCCAGTAAAGTTAGATATTTATTTCCCCAAATAAAATATAAGGTGGGGTTTCATCAATAAAAAAGATCTTTGCATTCCGCATATCTTTACTTGACATGTCACATGTCAGTATAGAAAGCTTAATTTTATTTTTGATTTTGATACGGTCTATTGAAAATGTATATAAATTTAAGTTCTTCACAGTTATTTTGCTTTTAATAGGTAAAAAAAAACAATTTAGTGTAAAATTAGTCACAAATAAAGTCCGCGATAATTTTGGCGTGACTTCACGTTGTTTAGTATCCGAAATATGATTGCAACATTTTTGGCGTTAATCAAAACATTACCTTTGATAAACGCTGATAAAAGCCAATCAATTGATATCGGTATAGTTGCTATTTTGGTATTTAGTGATGATGATAACATTTATAAATTCACGTCAATGTCGATCATGCCATAATATAAATATTACTGTTTAATTTGATCAGTATTATAAATGATATCATTTTTTTGAAATGTAAAGGTGATAATGTGATAAATCTGCATTTTGAACGTCAATACATTTGATTTGATATTTCGTAAGCTCAGTAATTTCTTTAACTCAATGTTTAATTTTTTATTTAATATTTGCACCTTCTAAACGGAAAATAGTAGTTACCAAACTATATACAACCGCATACTTTCGAACAGAGATCATTTTTAAGCCTTTGAATATAAAGCCATGAGTGGATATGATACACCCATTTTATTTAAAAACACCGAAATTATCTATTTTCGAGCTTTCGGTTTTGAAATTTCACCATTTTAATGATAATGGCGAGGAACACCCTACCCTGCATAACTAATGTTTGCTTGTCGTATGACGCCACAAAATTTGTTTAGTGCTTCGTGGAAAACCGATATTCAACCGTTTCCTCTAATACGATCCAAAGGTCCTTTCAGCTATAAAGATGACCTTAAACGAAAGGATGATGTATTTTTAATTACTCTGCCATTAATTTACCGTTATTATTGTTATTCCCAATTTTGGCTTATTTCTGGTGACAAAATTATTCTTTTTTCAAATTAGTTTTATCGTCAAACCCATTTAAATACGATCATTACTATCCATTTATACTTAGTTTAAGGTGTATAAATGTTAATTACATTAGTACTTATAACATAATGACGTAGCTGTTATAAACACTACGTTTTACATTATTTAAAATGTAATCGCAGTTTTGGTTTTGTCTTTACCCTATCAACGATACGTTCACTGCGCACGAAGACGGGGGGGGGTGTCTTAGGACTAAACATTCCCTACTTATTTTTCAGAGTTCTATCAGTCGTATCATTTATATCATGATTTTTTTAAACACAAGATTTTTTAAATAAATTATATGAAAAATTGTTGATGATCTTAATATAAATTGAAGCATTTTGTAGACTTTTAAAGAAATTTCAGTAATATGACATTGTTTAATAGTTATTTATGTATCAATGGCGTAAAACAGGCTTTTGTGGACCGCCAGGCGAGGGCTATTAACACGTAAGGTCCATAAACGCTGTTTACGCCCGAAATGAATACAACATTTTATGCACTACCCTTTTAATGACAATTTATTAACACATATATAAAATTTTATGTACGACCGTTTTAATGATCGTTTATTAATAAATAGCTATTGTTTTATTAACTAGATGTACATTTTTAAAAGAAATAAAATATTTTTTTCTATGACTATTTAACAATATAAATATTATACATCCATTTTCTATTGATTAATATAAGTGGTTGCTCATACAGTGAGTTTTTTTTATTACTCAATTATTTCTTTCATTACTCAATTATTTTCAACCATTACTTAATTATTTTCAACAAAATTCGACCACAACTATAAGCTACACGGAAAACCAGTTGACTATATATAGTAGCAATACAATATAACTACTATTGTTGATTTGGATTCAATATCTTCTGTTAATTTTCAAAACTGTTCTAATTTCACAATTAATTTTGGAACAAATAAATGAAACAAAATATTACATAACTATTATTTAATTTAATAATCCAATAAAAAGTATAGTATTCTACTCGCAGGTAATGGCTATTACTCAGTCGGATGATTGCACTACTCGCCTGCGGCTCGTAGTGCAGACTTCATCCTCGTGAGTAATAGCCATCATTAACCGCTAGTTGAATAATATACTATTACTTTATCGCCCGGCGGGCGGTAAAGTAGTCCGCGGACGATAAAGGGGCCCTTAACGCCCACTAAACGTATTTATAATCTGGACTTTATCGCCCGGTCGTGCATAAAATATAATAATTGAATGCTATATTATTCGTCCGTAATCTATAAAAGTAATTACGAAACATTTGCTTGTATTTAAATATAATTGATTTAACGCACACCATCTTACAGCTCCATCTAAGTTATTTTGAAGTATCGTTCATCGCTAATCGGACCTGTAAATTTTCAAATCATCATAAAGTAAAAACTTTAAGTTTACTATGTTCTGATAAATTTCATTAACAAATTGACAAAATAAAATCGGTCCACATTGTGGTAGTCCTGATTTTATAACAAAATTATCTGAAACATAACTGAGTATACAAACACACTGTATAGTCTTTACGTCTAGTAACTTTCTGTATAAGTTTAGTTAGAATTTACACCAAGAGCAAACAACTTTTTTAGTAATATGTGAGAGACATTGGGCCGTATTTATAAAAAGAAGCCTTACCTTTTACATTTAAAAATTAAAGCAATTCCTTTAAGTTAGATATATGACGTATAAAAAAAATCTGATGTGTCCAGCACATGACTTTCCTATCTAGTTATTATTTATTACAACCTATTGCAGCACCTCTGTAAATGTTTAAAGAATAAACTAAATATATACATTTTCCACATACATCTAACTCGAAATATTTTTCTATATATATTTATTGAAAACAAAAATACTGAAAAATTTAAATTTCACTTTTCTTCCAATTTTTCCATTACAGTCCATTTTAGAGAAATTATGTAAAAAACTTTTAGTTTAACAATTTTCTTGAAAATCAGAATTTTGCACATTTTGTCAAATTTCTCGAATACGGACTGAATGTGTAGCACTCCAGAATCCAAGAGCACTATATTTAAGAGCATATCAAATAGAAGAGGGAGATTTACCTAACTTTTAGCCACTTCAAATCCTACACTTTCTTGAGAAGATAGGATTATAAGGGTTATTATAGGCATTGAGACATTTCCTTGCTGCATTAGCAACAGACGGGGAGACAATAGATCTTTTAGGTCGCAGTGTATTAACACCCCATTCCCAACATAACATATGACATAATTATTAAAAAAATATTTACTATGGTTGCTTGATAAAATTCATCCATATCATGGTAAGTTTCAGCTTGGTAAGCTACTTATAATGTGACCTAATTGTTACATAATGTTAGTAGTGATGGTGACGCGGTCGGTCTTGTTATTGTGCGTTCTGACAATTTTTTTTATATTTATTAATGTAAAAACTATAATAGTCAAAATGGTAGGGATCCCTAACGCTCCTCCATTGAATGCTCCACTATCCTAATTAGGTGAGCTCTAACTCGACTCTACCGGTTTAATTTATGTCATGAATTTTGAAATACCTTGTATATAAAAATTAGAAACTTCACCTTCAATGCAACTATGTATATTATCCGATAAAATTGCGATTTAGCACGATCTTCGCCCGTGCGACAATAGACCTCCAAGAATTAATGTCTCGTAATTTCCTCGAACTCACGTACCTATCTTCAAACCAGAATATCCGCAAAGTTGTATAGCTAATTCCACTTTTTCTTTCAGATAGAATACCAAAGATGTCGACTGAGTTGAAAACGATTTCATCGAGAGCCATAACGAAATTGAAAATGGAAGAAACCCAACCTAGACTGTACCGGTCGTCCTCGCTAGACAAGATCAAGAAATTCAACACGTTCATTTGCGCCCCACAGTACTACATCCTTCCAGCGCTGCTTAGTTGGTTGAAAAATTCACAATCGAATCTACAGGCATCTACGGAAACCACCATATATTTTCTACGCGCTTTTATTTTGAACGCGTTCTTCAAATTCTATTTGGTATTTTTCAAGAACGTGCAACCCTTCGGGTTCGAAAAAATCCAGATCGTCGTGAAGAAGTCCATATCTGCTATAATCGCGAATTTCTACCAAAAGTTCTCAAAATGTTTTGAGCCTACATTTCTACTTACAGCAGGAGTATATTCAGCTTGTTTAGCCGTTTTACTTCAATTTTTATTTTCTATTTATTTAATTTATTTAATATTTCTACCTTACGGGTTTATATTCCTTGTAGGATGTATGTTGACTATCAAATATATTTCGTACAAGACTATGATTAATTGTTTGACAAAACGCAAAAGATGTGATAAAAAATTGCAATGACTTTTTGTTTTTTTTTTTAAAGATTGTGAGACTGTTTCTTCCACTTATATTAAGTGTAATAATTACTGTAAGTTGTTAGTTGTTTTAGCTATTCAAATATGGACATGATGTAGTTAAACAGTAACACTGTGTGTTTTTTTATTTTATAATAAATGATTTACTACTTATGCAACTATTTTTTATTTAACCTTTTCAGATCTGCTTTTTACGAAAAAAAAAAAATATTAATTTTTATTAATTTTTACTAAATTTTATTAATTTTTACTAAATTTTATTAATTTTTACTAATTTTTACTAATTTTTACTAATTTTTACTAATTTTTACTAATTTTTACTAATTTTTATTAATTGTTATTAGTTTTTTTTTATTAATTTTTATTAGTTTTTATTATTTTTATTTATTTTTATTTTTTATTTATTTTTATTTATTTTTATTTATTTTTATTTATTTTTATTTATTTTTATTTATTTTTATTTATTTTTATTTATTTTTATTTATTTTTATTTATTTTTATTTATTTTTATTTATTTTTATTTATTTTTATTTATTTTTATTTATTTTTATTTATTTTTATTTATTTTTATTTATTTTTATTTATTTTTATTTGTTTTTATTTATTTTTACGATACACCCCATTTCCCTTTCCTTAATAAGTGAAAATCCAAAAATCTTGAAATACGTCATTTTTTACTCGATGAGTGGCTACAATTCCAATTTTCAAGGTCCTACTTTTAAAAAACCAAAAGTCTCATTTAAACTTTCGCCTCCCGTTTCCCTCCTTAATGTGTAAAAATCTAAATACCCTGAAACATGTCTATTTATTTATTATGAGTACCTACAATTTCAATTTTCAAGTTCCTACCTTTGAAAAATCGATAGCCCCATACAAACTTTCACACCCTCACCTTTCCCCTATGTTCTCATTTTTCTTCATTTCCACTCTTTCCCCCATTCCTCTCTTTCCCCCATTCCACTATTTCCCCCATTTCCCCTTTTCTCTCTTTCCCCTCTTTCCTCCCTTTTCTCCATTTCCCCTCTTAAAATATGAAAATCCAAAAACATGAAACACACCATTATTTATTTGTGATGAGTAGCTATAATTCCAATTTTCAAGTTTCTTCTTATCTATAGTCAGAATAACGAAAGATGGACTGTCCCCACTATACGTATTTAACATACAATTCCCTTACCCCCACTTTGAGAATTTGAGGGCTTTTAAAGTCATTCTTTCGTTATGCCGACTATATTACATTTTCTGACTGCAATTTTGTCGCGGTCGCGATTCATTTTTGTTGAGTTTCGGAACGCGACATTAGATCCTATAACACGCACGCTAATACTATTTTGATAGATATGATTGAATTTGAACTTTGTGCAGCGGTAATAAGATCTATAATTGACTCTTAAATGTTTGTATGGGAAATAGAAAAGGGCTGTATTTATGGTTTTCCCGGCAATTATTCTAATTTTTCTCACGTTTTAAACCTTCCCTATACCTCCACGAACATGTCAAGATCAAGATAAGATAAATCCGTTCAGCCGTTCTCGAGTTTTAGCGAGACTAACGAACAGCAATTCATTGTTATATATATATAAATAATATTAATATATGTATACAGGGTGGCTCACGCTCAACGGGACGGAGCTTTATGGGTAAACGACCAAAGATATAAAAAATTCGGTTGGGAGGAATACGTAGGTTACAGACGGCTACAATTTAAAATTTGTTAGATGTATACAGGATGTCCCACAAAAGAGAAAATATACAAAGTTATATTATTTTTAATGGAACACCCTGTTTTTTATTTTAGAATTAAAAACTACATCAAAAATAATGTCAATTAACTAAAGGTTCCCTATTACTATTATTATTAGTTTTCGATTTATTTGAATTTTTAAGGAAAAAAAGTCTCCCAGAAATTAATTGTTTACTCTTGTTTGAATAATTTTTAATGAACTAATTTTTTTTTCTTATGTGGGACATCCTGTATACATCTAACAAATTTTAAATTGTAGCCGTCTGTAACCTACGTATTCCTCCCAAACGAATTTTTTATATCTTTGGTCGTTTTCCCATAAAGCTCCGTCCCGTTGAGCGTGAGCCACCCTGTATTAAAACGCAAATATTTTATTTTCGAAAACATTTTTAACAAAAAATATAAAAAATTGGTCACAAATGTGACCACTGAGTCCGTAGGTCTGGCCTAGCCATGGAGGAAGGATAATTAGGCACAGCTATGACCACTGTGCATTATCAGAACTGAAATCTTGTAAAACACGAGTTTTTCACAGCTGCTAGCATAAATTAAACACACACACAAGGACATAAGGACAACACTATTTTTTCCCAGGCTTTTTCAGGGAGACAAATCCCAACAACTAAAATTAGACATAATAACTTAGAACACAAATCAATTATCGCCGTTAAGCAGTAAAGCCGGATTTATTATATTATATCGAGAGGTAAGGAGATGATAGATAAAAACAACACCGATAAATATCCCGCATTTCACAGTTGGGAGCGAAGACGACGCCCATACTCCTCCAGCGAATAGCTAGAGGATGGGAAGAAGTTATTCCAATGACATGTAGATGTAAATTGTATTACTAAATGTAAATAAAGTTTGATTTGATTTTGGTCTTAAGAGTAACACAAATTAAACGGGTAAGAAATTAAAACAATATAGTAAAGTTTGACACATAAAAATCTCTAAAACCGAGATGTACTTGGTATTTTTCACATTTTTACTCTAGAACGCGATTTACAACCCTCCATTTTGCATCTGAGGAAGTTCTCCCATAAATGGTAAATGTTCAACATTATCATAATGCACTGCAATTTGAGGGCGAATATCTAGATTAATGTCGTTTCATCTTAGCCTGCACTTTTTTGAGAGCTGCTTGAAGAGTGCTTCAGTTACCTATATTTGAAGGGTAAACCTGAAAAATTTCCAAGTGCAGAAAATCAAAGTCTGCCATTAGACAAGCTCTAGATATATTAATAATTATTATGATTCTATTAATTTATTTACGAGATATTATAATTAATAGTAAGGATGTGATTCCTTGGTCTATTTATGTCTATTTCTTGACGAGTCCTGAAAATGCCGAAACCGGTCCAAGAATAACGTTCTGTTTAAGAAGCAAAATCAGTGTTTGAGAATTAAAAATTATTTTCCTTCTGATATAATACCATGCATGTTGCGGTATTAGCCAAAGAGTAGTTGTTTTTAGGTGGAAAACGGTAGCTCGACGTTTCTTTGACACGGTCTTTCAGTTATTGTCTTGTTCCTTTGTTTTTATTATCAATAAATAATAGCCAAATTAAGATTGTTCACTCAAACTGCATTTTTTCGTTAATATATCGACATTCGCTATAATAAAGCAAAAAATGAGTTACATGAACCAATCTTGACTTGTAGGTTTTAGGTTTAATTAATATTTAAATAACAAGTATAATCAAAAATAATAAATTAAAAAAATACAAATCCAATTTTTAAAAAATGTATGAAGAAGTTGGGGCGGGCTATCGAGCAGCTACACATTCTAAGATACAGGATTGCTTCCCTAACGTAATGAAGAATATTTTCTCTGAAACAGGAAACACACAGTATAAGTATAAAAATAAACGTATAAAGCAAATGAAAGGCCCACAGCAAAACCATTAAGTTCCATGAAACAACATTTTTCAGGAGAGCAAAAATAAAATGTGTACTCTGATGTTTATTGCATTGTATGGTATGTCCGATCTTTTGTATGCGATTTTAAAGGAAATGTTTCGTCTTCTCACATGATACTAGAGCCTAAACTCCAACAAATGGCATTTAGAACTTAAAATGGACCTTGATGGTTTTTGCAGTGAACCCTTCAAATGTATTAATAAGAAAAAAGTCAATAAAAACAACAGTTCCTTAATTTTTTTTTTGATAAATGAAACTGTTTTTAATGTCCTCTAGTATTTATGGTTTTAATGCAACATGTGGCAGATATGTGGTTCCCTGGAACACAGTTTAAGAAACGCTGTGCTAGAATGCGAAACTGGTACTGGCGTTAATACAGAAAGTTTTAAAACTTACCAATACATAGTAGCATATAAACGATGTCTAAATTAATTGAAGTTGAAAGCAGTTATTTTGCTGAACATTTTCTGTCCAAACTTTCAGTTAAAGACACAGAAGGCGTAACCAAGTTACTTTGATCGACATACGAATATTCGATTTCAAAACTCATTTGAAGGCAGTCCATCCAGTACAATTCCAGGAACTGTTGATAAATAACAAAAAAGTATAATAGAAAACAAGCTTACAAGCACACCACAGTATACGAGTAGATAATAATCATTAGTACGACTCTCGAGCGGTACCTTTGATCTGTATCTACTAGTCACAAGGAGGAAGTAGTTTGTAAGGTGACACCATTTTGCTAGGATCATTCGCAGATCCGGGTTCGCAGTTTTAGATAATTTTTATAATTCTCTATGAAACTTTTTATATAAATTTATAATAGCACACTTTTTTAAATTACAATATCTTTGATCTCCCATCTGAAATTAAGACTGCAATAAAGTTCAAATTCAAAATATGTGTGACAAAACATATGAGATATATAATTACGATTATAATTTATCATTAACGGCTGTGAAGCAAGCGTCCAATCTATGGAGACCACCATTGAAAAGAAAAATAACTTGACAATAACTTAACTGACAACTGTCTGGAGTCAACTAAAAGAAGACTACAAAAAAAACATTGGCAACCAACGCACAGAACATCTCTTGACAATGAAAGAGATCTTAAGAAAATGACGGCCCATTCGTAACAGTTCTGATGATAAAATTTTGAGTCGCAATACCGATTGTTCTTTATACTGTGGCTCAACGAAATAAATTAAAACACAACTAACTGCAACCAAGTTAACAATATAAATAAACTCACATATTTCGTCTGTTCAAAGTTTTGTTCTATTGTCTGACATTCTCGTTCGTCTTTCCCTCGAACAAAAAAATTACACCAAGCAACTAACAAAATACTGAAAAATTACATTAATATACAGGAAAGTATAATATTTTAATTTTTCCACTCCCCACTTCGCTTTCACTTAACAATGTACATTCTTTAGATCATGAATTAATAGCTATATAGATTTCTGAATTCTGTCCAACTGAAACCCTAGGGAAAAATTATTTGTAGAATTTTGTGATTACATGTAATTGTGTCTATAATCTATTAGCTCGGATATACAGGGTGTTTCTAAATTCATGCGACAAAATTCAGGATGTGATTGCTCGTATGAAATTAAGATGGGACTTTCCTATAACAAAATTTCCTCAGCCCACCCCTTTCCGAGATATCACCCTTAAAAAGTGGTGACTAAAATGGAGTTTTTATTTTTTTTCTAAAATTTCAGTTAAGCTAGAAAATTGAAATTTTGTAATTTACGTGCACTCACAAAGGACTAACCACGGGTATTTTTTCAATATTCCTGCTACATTATAGGGGGGTGAAATTAGCAACCCTTACTTTATTTCATATCAAAACTTTTTTTTCGAGATGAAGTTTTATAAAATAAAATTATAACTTGAAATCTTTGTTTTATTTAAAAAAAAATGTATTCCTATTTTTTTTTCCCAAAACCAATAGCTGCAGAGAAAAAAAATAAACACCATAATTTATAATTTTTTTAATAAATTGAGTGGAAAACAGTAACGATGTAAAATGAAATACGATTCATAATAAATGCTGGAAATGACCACCTGTAGCCAAAGTACATTACTGAAATTTTAGAAAAAAAAAATAAAAACTATTTTAGTCACCACCTTTTAAGGGTGATATCTCGGAAAGGGGTAGACTGAGGAAATTTTGTTATAGCAAAGACCCATCTTAATTTCATACGAGCAATCACCTCCTGAATTTTGTCGCATGAATTAAGAAACACTCTTTATGGAGGTATACAATCACCTATTAACTCTAAAAGAAATGATTGAATACCAATTTTTTTGCTTTAAAAAGTTTGGATATTAGTCAAAATGGTATACCGATGCATTACTTTTTCAATTCAAAATAAATCTGTACAGGGTGAGTCAAAACTCAAATACTCATTTGGACATTGAAAAATTTTAAAGCAGAATTATTCAATACATAGGTATAGGTACTTTCTTTATTTTGGATCAATATAGTGTTGACCAGAAAGTTTCGCTGTCGGAAACTTGTTAATTAATTTTTTGACAAGCATAATATGCTGATCAAGATCACCTACTAGAACAACTAAAGTAGACGACGAGCGGGCGGCGCGGCGCTCCAAGCGGTGCAGTAAATTAAATTAAAATTAATGAGATCCATAAAATCTATTTTGGAATGTGTAAAATAATTTCTGTAAAATGCAGATGAGATACTTGCATTTTTTGACAGTTCTATAACTCTACAACACCTATGCACCAGCCACCACTGGTGAGCGTGTAGACATTTTTTCTCTAAAAATTTGAAAAGTCACACAGAGGTTATAATAATCTACTAAAGGCCGATTCCACCGTTGGGTTAAACAAAGTTTAAATTACTAAACGAAGATTAAAAGGACATTGTTAATGTAAAAATGTCATTTTAATCTTCGTTTAGTAATTTAAGCTTCGTTTAACATAATCGTGGAATCGGCCCTTAACTACTTCCTTCTAAAACCTCGTTTAGTTTCGAACGGTGGAAAATAAATTAAAGTCAATCAAACCAAATATATGGATAATTTAGTTGCTATGTGTGGATGATAAACTTCTTAAAACAGCAAAATTTGTTTCACGGTGTGAAAATAAACCCAGTATATAAAACGAAATTTAGGAAAACGTTGCAGCCGAATTAAATAAAATTGGACTCAAACATCTAAGAAAATTATATTTGTCTTGAAATCTGTTTATTTTATTTCTTTTACTTTCCTAATTAGGAAACACAAATTGGGTAAATTATATTTGTTACTTCATCTATACTTCTTAAAACAAAATGATCCCTGTCCTGTAGATAGTTGGTATCCTTATCCATCCCTGGTCAAAAAAAAATGAGTTGCAAGTATTTTTAAATATGCTTGTATTGCGGTATTTCTTCGAGATGGCCCCATATGTGGTTATATAATATTAACTATAGTTCAGGCTACAACTGTAAAAACCGAAAAATATTTTTAAAATTTACATTATTTGGTAACTGAAACGGATCACCCAAAGTCCCTATAATTGACCTTTGATGTAATCGAAATTCGGTTCTGAAATATTAAATGAAATAGATGTACCTAGGTACATTATAATTGTTTTGTACTTCATTTTTCAGTAACTCTTCAACCAAAATTTTTCCAATTAGGTACGCCATTCCCGGTTCCGTTAAAAATTAAAGGGGAATTTTAACATCCCTTTACAAATGATTAGAGGACTATTTAAAAGAAAACCGTTTAACTAATAACAGAAGTAAATTAGCGAATACGAAAATATTTTTAAAGGCTGCCAATATTTTAACGGCCGTTAAAATATAAAGGAATTGTTACAGAATAGATCCCATATACATAGTTAGTTTAACTATAAATCGGTTGAATTTTGACTTACATCTCTGGATAGCTATTCACTAAGTCATGGGAGCGCTCCCATGGGAGTGCTCCCATATATTTTGCTCTCTTATACTTAGGTGGGTATATCGTGCTTACTCACTTTTAGCCCAGGTACATGCGTAGTAAGGTCAGATTTTATACCATGGAAGGGAGAATTGCGGGCTTGCCAGATTTTAGGTTCGTATTTATCACAAAGCAAATTTGAACTACTTAGGGCAGATTCCACCGTTGTGTTAAACGGAGATTAAAATGACATTGTTAATGTAAAAATGTCATTTTAAACTTCGTTTAACACAACGGTGGAATCGGTCCTTAAATAGTAGATCAAAGTTATTCTGTCGACTTGGCAACGTTGGCATGGGAGTATGGGAGCATGGGAATGCTCCCATGAGTTAGAGATTAGGTATCCAGGTCTCTTCGTATTGTATGGGTTTCTTTATTGTAATAATATTGTACTAATATATTACCTAGATATGACAAAATGTGGCAATATCCACTTGTCCAAAAATGAAGGTAAGACATGATATATGCAAATTGTAAAAATATATTGATACGGTAAGAGCATAAATTAAATAGAAGTAAACTTTTATAGTCATAGTCGCAATACTTTTATTTGAAACATTTTTTGCATAAATATTAAAAATGATAAAGGGTGGGTAATTTATAATGAATAATCCTGTGCAAAGTAAAATATTCTTCTTGTCTAGGTATATTTTGTTTGTGAAAAAATGTATTCTAACCGAAAAACTTTGATTTAATTTATACATAAGCAAAATCATAATTTTACATCAATTTACATTTTACCAATTTTTTGTTTCTTTTGAAAACTAATATTTCAATGACAAAAACATTTTTTATGAGAGTAATTTTTATATAAAAAGAATGACCTCGGTACAACTGGTACTACGTATCTTAGAACAATTTCGGATTTCATAGTATTTAACATGAAAAAGTATGTTGATCTTGTAATAGGTACAAGAATAGTTACCATATAAGGAACAGCATTGAACCCATTACATCTATGTCACTAACAGAAAAATAATTTGCTATTTTTCTTATTATTCTGTTGTCATCTAACGAGAGAGGTAAGTACCTAGTCTAGTTATTCTGTTTACTATTTAGGGAATCGTTTTTCTTTTATAATCTATAAATACAGTGCTTTTCAGATAAAAGTATCCACCTTAAGTAACTTTTGAAGGACTGATTATTACAAAAAACAAAAAAATACGTCAATTAATATTCGAAGGGGGAGATATCGTGCCATATTTAAGTTTGCTAAAAAAGTCACCCTTTCACCCCTACTATCATCCCTTCAATTTTTTTAAATGGATTGCTCTCGTTTAACTGATTTCAAAAATGTATAAAACATGGGGATTAAAGTAATTAGTTTACGATCTACAGAATTTTAAATTAAAATAAAATTGAATTGTGCAAAACTTTTATTTTAATGATTTTGTCACAAGCGTTTCCAATGACAAAACGAATATTTCATTTTCAAAATTTATTATAAAAATTGTTCAAAATGTCCACCATTTACTTCCATACAATGGTATAACCTAGATTGAAAAGCCTCCCTGACATTACCGAACACGTGTGCATTTAAATGTAGGCATTCATACTCTATTCTTTGTCGTAAATCTTCTAAAGATTCTGGTTGGGTAGCATAAATTTTTGTTTTTAAATAACCCCATAAAAAGAAGTCTAGAGGTGATAAATCCGGTGATCTAGGTGGCCACTCCATCATCGAGCCTCTTCTACCTATCCAACGATTGGGGAAAGTTTCATTTAAAAATTGTCGTACTGGCAAAGCAAAATGTGGAGGCGCTCCATCCTGTTGAAAGACAAGCAAATCTTCAGAAAGATTATGATCATTTTCTATTATTGTTGTAATACGTGGATCAATTACTTCTCTCAATAACTCAAGATATGACTCTCCTATCAAAATCGGGTACCTAACTAACAAAAATTTATATTTATTACGAGTATAATTTCTGTATTAAAATAATTTCAAATCTACATTATTAATTTATTTTAAGATTTTCATCGCAATGATCGAGGTAATCGATAATTTCCCAAAAATACCATTTTTACAATCTACCAAACAAAATTATTTAGCATTAGAATTACTTTTGCTTACTACGGCCTGTACTTTGTTAGTATGGTTCGTTCAATTTATTTGGGGAAGAAGAAAATTATACTCGTATGCCAGACAAGTTCCTGGACCGCCTTCATTACCATTAATTGGATCTCCTTGGTATTTTATGGGAAATTCTTACGGTAATATTATTGTTTATTTTTACATGTTCTCTGATTCTAGTTTGTAATTTTTTACCTGTTTGACCCATATAACTAACATTATAGTTGCTAAAGTTGTTAGATTTGTTAAATATTAAATTTTAGATATTTTGTCCAATGTGTCTATGTTGTTTGATACTTATCCGTCAGTATTTAAAGTATGGTTTGGACCCAAACTGTTTTTTGCTGTATCAGAACCAAAACACTATGAAATTTTATTGACAAAATGTTTGAACAAGGAATCACTATACGATGGAGCCAATGTGATAGCTGCTGATGGACTGTTTACATCAAAACGTAAGTACATACAGGGTGTTCCATTAGTGCGTAAGTGCTCGATATTTTAATTTGTTAACAGACACCCCAAGTAACACAAAAAGTTATAAAATGTTTGGTATAATTAATTAAAACGTTACAAAATATACGTAAACGACACGTTAAACAATTTTTATAAAAGATATATAACTTTTTAATAGTGTAGAAACTAATAGTACGACGTTTTTGTTAAACTTTGTTGAGTTGTAACAACGTTAATACATAAGAAACATATTATTATAACTAAATTAAGTTATTTTAAAATGTACAGTATATGCGGTTGTTATACCGTTTCTATAACTTTTGAACTACAACTACTTATAATAGATACATAATACCGTTTTAATAGCATTGTAAACTGTTTAGGTTTATCCATAAAAGACATAAAAGTATTATATGGTTAATAAAACTAATACAAACTACTCAAGTGGTTCTTTCATAATTAAGTTATAATAACCACATGTTGTACACATAAAAGCAACGAAAGTATAATTTATAAAATAATAAGTTAAATAATTTTAACGTGCTGTTTATATGTATTAATTACAGCTTTTTGGTCATAAGAAAATTCAGCCATTTTATTCAGTAAAAAGGAACACAAACTTTCCGCCATGTTGATAAAAATAAACAAAAAATAAAATTTGGATCTCATTCTGTATTATAATTGCAATAAGTAGATAAAAAAATGTTACAATAAAATGTTTTTATTTAAAATAACTATTATTTTGAAATATTATTGAAGTTTATCTTTTTCCGTAATTTTTAAAATAAATTTTAAAATTGTTATTTTAAGAAAATGATAAGGCACACTAACTTTAACAAACTAAAATTAAATGTAACTCCATTTTTTTCGTCAGAGAATTTACACAGGTTACACCTTTTTATACAAAATATAAGTTTAATATTAAGATTTACCTAGTTGCCATTAAAGACATATTTATGATGCAACGTCATTTTATACGAAGTAACTCTAAAATGTTTTTACCTATCAGTCTTCTTTAGATATATAAATAATAATCTATAGATAAAACCAAATTATATCATAACATAACAGCTCTTAACAACGTTTTTATATGCACCTAGTAAACATTATCTTTTTATAAAGTTGTAAGTTATAACAACTACTGTAAAACGTATACTATTATACACCAAAAGTCGCATTATAATAACGGTATAGTGTATTCGAATATGTAAGTTGTTGAATTTTAAGAAAATTTGTTGCAACGTCAGTATAACCCTTATATAACTTTTGTCTTACTTGGGACGCAAAAAAGTTTAAAATAAAAGTTATATGGATTTAAAACAGGAATATTTTAGTAATATTTTTGGATATACAGGCAAATAAAAATGGAACATGCTATATTTTATTTCATGTTTAGAATAGTCTGGTAATACTGTATTTAACCCTACGCTTTTGCTTCCCCTACCTTAACTTCGCACTGAGCGAATACCAGTACTTAATAAATGAGGAGCGAACTAAACTTATACGTTTTTAAACCAATCACCCTGTAGGTGCTATGCATAAGGGATTTGATAGTTTTCACAATTTTAATAGACAATGTTTTGCACATAGATAAATTAATTTATCTATGGTTTTATCTATGGTTTTGCATGATCCCCTCTCTTAATAGCGGTGCAATTTCTTTTAATAAGAAATTAATCTAACTCTGATGATAATCCCACATATTTTTAGGTGATACTTGGAAAAAACACAGAAAATTAATAGCTCCAACATTTAATCAACAAATTTTGGATAATTTTGTCGAAATATTTTCGGAACAGGCTGAGGTCCTCGTTCATAATTTAAAAAAACATGCTGGAAAAGGGGAGTTTGACATATTTCATACTATTTCCACATGTACTTTGGATATCATATGTGGTAAGTTACAATATTAATTTATAATGTAAAGATGTTTCTAAAGTAGGCCTTGAGCGACAAAGACAAAACTACGAGCCATGTCAGTGATAACGACGCGAGGCTCAGAATTAAATCCAAAATGACACTTAAAAAGAAGAATTGAATCGGAGAGTTCGAAAACCGTACAAGTCCAAAATTTGACATTTTAAAGTAAGATAGCCATTTTGTTTAAAATTTGTCTCTTCATCGATTAAACTTAAAAGATACCTATCCGTTAACCTAGTACAGCTGATTACATTCGTGAAATTAGGCGAAAAACCGTACATATTCGTGACTCGTTAAAAGGTTCTTATTGTTTTTCTTGGAAGGCTGATTCTGGACATGTACGGTTTTCGAACTCACCGATTCAATTGAACACTCGACATACGTGAATTTTTCTAAAGCCTAATTTAGAAACATTTTTGTTGTAATAATAGGTATTTTCCTTTGCATCGAAAGTGTAGCACTGAGCTACGCCACTTTTGAAAATATCGTTCCATCCATTAAATTTGTATAAATGGAACGATATTTTCAGAAGTGGTGTAGCTCAGTCACATACTTCAAGTATGTGAGCTCAGTGCTACACTTTTGATGCAAAGGAAAATACCTAATTTGAATTGATACGCAAATAAAATAGAGAATTATTGCAAATTTCTATAACGTCAGCCACTAATAGTGACAACGTAATTAGAGGCAAATAAATTCCATGCTAAAATAAGACTTATTGCAAACCTGAAATTTTGATATTAGAGCCCTTGTCCTTATACATATTTCTAACCTCATTTAAAAAATTTTAAATTACAGTTCATCTTTTTTGTCGTTTATAATACTAATACATAATATGGAAGAGGCATTGTAAATTACCATTTTAGAAGGTTTAGATGACGATGATATTAAATATTTAATATTAAAAAACTTCGAACTGATACGAATGTTGGCGAGCGCACCCGAAAACTATAAAGTCGCCACTAAATGCTGTCCTTAAACATCCACAATTACGAACTGGCATAATCTTTATTAAAGTCACGATCTTAGAGCAATATGCTCTAAGGACAAAATCCATGATCTACGATAAGTAAAGAATATGGACTAAAAATACAAGTTTGATTCAAATTTGTACTTTCTGGACGTGGCAATTCTCTTGCAATCCCTTTTCTTATTTTGTGAAATAAAAATAAGTGTGTAGAAATAATTATTTATAAAAAGAAAGTACACAGAAGAAATTACTTTTTATTTGGTAAATTTCAAATTTTTTTTGTCAAGTTTATTTTGAAAACACTTCTATCTTATTCTTATGATATATGTTCGTGTCCTGCTCATGCATAGTAATATTTCAAAAGGAACCATTGTATCGAGACATGAAACTACTGTTTTATCTGCTAAAATTTTAAAATGCCTATTTATTTTCTTTGCTTAATGAGGCCCCATGCACCTGGTGAAATTCAGTTTCCATTTTTTGCGTCTATGTTTAAGAGGAATCTCAGAACTACTTTCCTCAAAGTAGATAGGGCAACTTCATGCTAAAAAAAAATATATAAGTATATTTTTTTTATTTTAACAACTTTTCACTGTCTCCAAATCTATTACACTTGTACATTTTACTCACCATTGTTTATTAAGTTTGTCCTTTCTTCGATAAGAATTTACCCACATTTTGTGGCATTCGGAAATATCTTACATTACACCATTTTTGGATTTCGTATTATGGTTTTTCCAAGTCGCCACCGCGCCGCATTAATTCAGGTTCTTCTCTGTTATATACAGGAAAATATAGCCACTACTAACACAAAAACAAATAAATTATTCCATTATTTTACACTATTCAATCGAAACGTGTCAATATAACATTATTTGATATAGTATGAGAGCCCACTGCAAATTTCGACCGTCATCTGATAACGACATGAAATAATATGCTCCAAAGACATGTAACAACATTGTACTTTACCAAATTGCACCTGTGCCAATCCCTATCCTGAGCAAAGTGGTTAAAAAAATTATTTTTTTTACTACTAACATGAGAAATCACCATTATTTACTCCATTCCTCTAATGAGAAGTAATATTTCTCTCCCTAGGTAAATAATGATAATAAAAAAAAACCTAGGTAAATAATGAAACTAAATTTCATTAGTTTCATTTTGTTAATTTGACAACTAAACTCCCAGACTACTTGATATTTTGAAATATTTGAAAAATAAGTAGGAAATAACTAAAGCTGGGTTTATTAAAATCTAATCAAATCAAATATGATAATATATATCAGTGTTAATAGTAATAGTACATTATATACCTCAGCCGAGGTATATATAGAATTTTTTTTACTACTAACATTAATGTATTAGCAATTTTAATTTTGACATAAGTAATTTCCTAACAATTTGTTAAATATTTCGAAATATCAAGCAGACTGGAGCGTGTTTCTAATCAGACTGGCTTTATTTATGTAAAAATTTGGCATGTGTCAAATTTTGGTATGATTCTAGGAAATATCCCATTGCATTTTTGATATTTTAATGACATGGATTTATTGTTATTAATTAATAATTTTTAAAGCCGGTGTTGAATTTTCTAGTTAATATATATTTTTACTGTTTACACTGATATATATTATCATATTTGATTTGATTAGATTTGATAAACCCAGCTTTAGTTATTTCCTACTTATTTTTCAAATATTTCAAAATATCAAGTAGTCTGGGAGTTTAGTTGTCAAATTAACAAAATGAAACTAATGAAATTTAGTTTCATTATTTACCTAGGTTTTTTTTTATTATCATTATTTACCTAGGGAGAGAAATATTACTTCTCATTAGAGGAATGGAGTAAATAATGGTGCTTTCTCATGTTAGTAGTAAAAAAAAATATATATTAACTAGGAAATTCAACACCGGCTTTAAAAATTATTAATTAATAACAATAAATCCATGTCATTAAAATATCAAAAATGCAATGGGATATTTCCTAGAATCATACCAAAATTTGACACATGCCAAATTTTTACATAAATAAAGCCAGTCTGATTAGAAACACGCTCCAGTCTGCTTGATATTTCGAAATATTTAACAAATTGTTAGGAAATTACTTATGTCAAAATTAAAATTGCTAATACATTAATGTTAGTAGTAAAAAAAATTCTATATATACCTCGGCTGAGAAAGCTATTATTTACCTCGCACATTATATCCCTCGGCGCTACGCGCCTCAGGATATAAAAGTGCTCGGTAAATAATAGCTCACTTCTCACCCTAGGTATATAATGTACTATTATATTCAAAAAATCGCATAAGACATGACAGCGACAATTGTATTTTCCCTGAAAATTACAATCCTAATTCATTGTGAACCTAGCTTTTAAAACAGAATTATTAATATTTTTACCTACCTTTTAAACCATGTTTATATGTGAAAGGAAAAAGGATGGCATTGTATAAACCATTTGCAGAGATAGTCAAGAATAATTATAAACTCTTGTCAGACAATTATTTTAAACCATAATCATAGTAGTAGTTTTTTTGTCGTTTCTATGGCAACCTGTAAAAATAAATCACAACAATAGGCATACAAATAAATTTTTAAATCAGCAAAAATTGATTCATATTTTTAATGATTTTTACCTACTAATCGTGGATATATGTTTTTGTGCGATGTTAAGAGGAAGAAAATGTTTCCCTTTTACGATATATATAAAGATATATTTGAATGTTATTTTGTGGAAAACTTTAAGGGAAAACAAAATTAGCGCTTCATGCCTTATGTGATTTTTTTAATATAAAATAATTTTTTTAAGCTACTTTGCTCAGGATTGGAATTGGCACAGGTGCCATTAGGTAAAGTACAATGTTTTTCCATGCTTTTGGGGTATATTTCATTTCGTTATCAGATGACGGTAAAAATTTGCAGTGGGCTCTTAGGCTAATATAACTTAAAAGTTCGTCCCGCACTACGTCACTGCGCGGTTTGGACGAAATTTCAGATGTCAAAATAAGAGCGGCACAAATAGTGACTGACTATGAAGACTAGTCTTCATATGACTGACCTTAAGTGAACTTGTAATAACTCTCTATTATTTATCTTAGAATATATTCTAAGTTATTTCTAAAGTAGACTTTGGACAATTCTTCTTGCTTACATATCACGTACACGACTCGTATCTGTTTTAGAAACATTTTTTGTGAAACAAATAAGAAGACTATTTATTATTTGTTTTTCAGAAACTGCAATGGGCGTTAAAGTTCATGCCCAAACTATCGATGCTCTTTACACCAAATGGGCCGATAGGTAAATACCAACATTAATTGCTTATTACAGGTGTACTAGTAGTGTTAAGATCTGCGCAAACTGTTGTCTCTTTTTTATACTCGGCGTTTGCCGCATGATACAATAAAAGGTAGGTATGATATTAGAGAGTTGAAGTGATGCTATGAACGTAAACGTATACATGAAAAGTGTCATCTACGCATGCGTTTTTAAATATCCTTCACGTTCACGTCTACGTACATACGTAAGCTTACGGACTCTGGCGTCTGTATGCAACGCAAACAAAATAACCTTTTTTAAATTGGGAAAATAAAAATCCTGATATTAATTGTCATTATCTGTCATAATACGTAAATGTCACGATGCGTTTTACAACTTCAACTCTGATTTTGGACTTAAACAACGTAAACATTATATTTCTGCGTTGACGTCCACGTTTACGTTAGCGTACTGGAAATACTTCAACTCTCTATTACCCCGATTGGTACTACGTCACGGTGACGTATGTGGTGTGTGGTGACGTATCTGGTGTGGCTTTTACGAATTTGAGATATCAACTGATCGAAAACAGCGCGCGAAAATAAATTTGCTCATGGCCAATCACATATTCCACACCACAATACGTCATGCGCGAACTCGAAGAGATTTCGTCGGCTAAGTATCTTACCTCTGTAATTTTTTATGTATCATGCGTTTGTCGCGTTTACTTTTGTGACATTGATATTTTGGAACATTCAACCAATCAATAATTAAATAGGAGAAAATTAAAGATTTTGTATTTAAAATCTTTCATTTTCTCCTACTACTCAGTGTGTACACACCTACAACCCCTTTGAATAATTAAATACCCAAACCTACTTTAACAAAAAATAAAAACAAATTAAATGTTTTATACATATTTATTTTTAAAGATTACATAGTAAATTATATTTATGTAAAACCCAAGTTTTAAATGATGAATATTGATAAATATTTCAGAAATGCGTTATTTCATAATAAATTATTTTTCAAAATGGCAGGAAATTGATTTTTAATTTTTTCATTTTTTAGAATGCTGGAGATAATATTTTTAAGAATCTTTATTTTATGGTACCAAAATGACTTCCTGTTCAACTTATTGCCGCTTGGTAGAGAAGCTCGCGATATTGCTAAAAATATGAACGAATTCTCTGGAAGGGTAAGGTTTTTTGTAGTTTTTGAGTAATTTGGTTATGTGCTAACAATTTTTTTCGAAACTGTAGGTAGTAAGAGAGAAGAAAAAAGCGTTTGATGAAAAAATCAGAGAAAGAAAAAATTCCATAGGAACCTATTTCGAAAACGGTAAGAGTTCTTACATTAATATAATTTATAAAAATAATATACAATAACTAATGTACATATCGTCGTTGTCTTTTTAATACCTTCTGTCTCGTATGTGTATAAAATTGATTATTCCAACAATGTATAATATTTTAATACCCTAATCAGTTTTCATAAGCACTATCGAAAATTTATTTTATTTGATCAAATTATACAGGTAAAATCTTCTACAGGGTTGGGATAAAGTATGGAACCAAGTAAATATCTGTAAAACGAAAAAGACGATATTTATGAAACTTTGCAGGCAAGTACAATGACGCATAACGCATCTGATGCCATATTTTTTGTTACTACTGTACTTCCGGTTTCACCGGAAATACCCTCAACTTTTTTAATTTCTAAATCCATTTTGAATGATTTCTTCGTCTTTTAATTTTATTTCTTCAATGAGCTTTTTCAATAAATGAGGAAAAGTGCTTTTGTTTACTGTACTGTCTCGTAGATTTTTGGTTTTGTAGGTTATTAGTATACAGTGCCAAACTACCTTCAAGGGCTTAAAGAAGCTCACATCCAAAGGTTGTGTCAAATGTGTTGAATTTGAAGGTAGCAAGATAAATCTAATATTGTTTCTAATGATTGTTATGTTTAAATAACTCGATAGATTATCTCCTATTAGAAGTTTCGGCCCATCAATTTTTTTGGCCCACGGTATAACCATTTGTGTAAACCAGTCTTCTAATGCGTACTAATCAAACCACCTAGATTTGGTTCTATTATAACGAGTTCCAGGGGTCTCCCGATACACCAGGAATTAAATAATGTCTCCGCCTTATGCACAACATATGGGACAAACAAAGTTCCATCTGCAGCGGCAGCAAACATGACGGATATTGAGGACTTTGTTTGGCAATGTCTGTTGGATAATTCATGTTTGTGTCTATGAATAAAATTCTTGCATCAATCTATGGTAAATTGTCTTTGAATTTCTTTAGGCGAACACCTTCTTTGTCTAAATGACTCTTTAACACGGCTCGCAATTCTGTCATGGTTAGGGGGCAGCCATATTCGGAGCTGGCTATTATAATGTCGACAATGGACCGTTCAATCTCCGGGGCGATTAGCTGAGGTGCTCCAACAGAACCTACATAAACATGTAGGTTTATACTGACTAAACAGTCAGTATAAAACTCTATGATTGGTTAGGATCGCAGGCTCTTATTGACTGAAATAACAAAATTTTACTATTGTCGAAGGCTATAGGGTTCATTTCTGTTTACAGGGTAGAGCGTGGAATGTATTCTTGATGATATCTTGTAGAGTCTGGGTGATGAATTGCTGAATAGATTGTCTTGGAATGTCGAAATTAAAGTGATTACTTCTGTTTATATAATTTCATAAACTTTACATTTTATAACAACATAACATTTGTATATTTTTACGTGTAACTAGGTTTTCTAAAACATGCTGGTTTAAAACATCTTTTTATATTGTTTCAAAGTAAAGAAAAGCGACTATTCTCGCAAAGAATAAAATAAGTTGTTACTTGGTCAGAGGTTGAAAAAAATGATCTCGACTTCTACGTAAGTTCTGTTGTTGTGTATGTATAATAGTTTCGGGCTATATTGCGTCCTTCGTCCTTTCCAATTCTTTTTCGAACCTCGTGCCATGTTCCCCACTCCGACATATTGTAGGCAATATTTCCCCAAACTACTTTGCCGTCTGGTTATGCTAAAGTGCTTATGTGCCACTGTTTAGAGAAAGTGGCATTGTCTAATCACACGATTGGCGTGGAAAGAGATAAAGTGAGTGTTGTAACTATTGAATAAGTGTATATATTTTTAACGATTTATTTTAAATGTGTCTATGAGGGTGCGAGTGAAATAGATATGTGAGTGGAAATGAGTTGGCGCTTATATTTATTTACTTGAAATTTTCCATAAACTGAGAAAAATATATTTCACGCGGGTGCTTGAAATTGTTGACTGCTAACGGAATGTTTTCTTGGAACTTTGAAATTCGTTAAACTGCATTCCTGCATCTGCCAGGGTTGGCTTTGATTTTAATTCATTATATATGTAATTGAAATATGATTTTTATTCTTTATTTTGTGTGAGATTTTTAAATTAGGTAATGACAGCTACATATTAATATATTATTGTTCTTATGTTTACTATTATACATTATTTATACATGGTGGATCATAAAGAGAGTAACTGTTAAAAAATGCTTGCAATTTTTGGATAACTATTTTGGTAGATGAAAAAAATAATCAAGGGTAGTATAACGAGACCTTGATAAATATAGTCGACTATTTTTATTGTTTCTAAATTTTGAGTGTTTTGATATTAATTTGTCGAGACATGATTTTGTTATTCTATTCCTTGATTATTAATGACACAATTATATCGAGACAAATTGCAAATTACACGAAAAATTTAGTAACAATAAGACTAGGCGCTAATTTATTAAGGTCGAGTTATATTTTATGAGATTGTTTCTAGAGCCCTGAATGTAACTTAAATTAATAAATACACAATAAAATAATTTTTATTTTCGATTCATTTTGAAACGTTCCACAAGATATTAACTTGTACTCTGAAAATAAATATATTTGACAGTAGCCGTTATTGTTATTAAATATTATACCTATAAGCAAGTATGCGAGTTGCTGTTAACATAGGTGAATATCAAGCACCAGGCATGATTATTCGATTTGAAATAGTCAGTGAAAATAGTCGATTTATTTGGTTCTAACGATAACGTAAATTGCGATGTGATCGGTTAAAATGTCAAAGTTGACAGGCGAGGGAAATAATCATGCTAATTTACTCAAATTATTAAATTCTGCACATAGGAGGTATTAATATGACAACGTCGACATATTATGAGGAGCACTACTATTGTTCGTGAAATCGATTACTTCTTTTATTGTGAGCGTTATGCATTTGTCAAATTCGTAAAGTTAAATAACGTGTTTATTTAACGTTTAATCAGCGTTGCCAATGTGTAAGCAATTGCTTACATTTAAAGAGATGTGGGAGCCCATACAGCGCAGGACGTTCCATAGACGTCCTGATTTGGTCCTTTGTTGGTCCGGTGAACTGGACATCCGATTATCGTGAACCTTAGGACGTCCTTCCAAAGATGTCTATGTTCTATTTTGGTCCCGTTTCGACAAAACGTTGTAGTTTTCGTTAATTGGACGTCTATGGGACTTCCTATGTACTGACATCGTTGGTCTTTGAATTGATAACTTGAAATTCAACGTTTTGTTTTTGAAAGAGAATGAGAAGTGCTAAAAACCTAACCTATCATTTAATTTCAAAATAAAAACAACAGCTAAAATTTTCGGCATTAAATAATGAACTTATATAAGTGAGTTAGGCTAACGAAGAAGAAAAGAAGGTTTTTGATGTTGGTAAAAAAAGTGGTTATAAAGTGGAGTGAATGTTTTGTGTTGAGGTGAGAATAAGTGATCTGCTGTGGCGGTAGCGCTGGCGCAAAGAAAAGACCTCAATGGCGGAAAGTGAGTACTGCTGGGAGAACAAACCTAATTTTTACTAAATTATAAAACTCAGTTATGTCGACAAAAGCTATAAGTAGCTCCCAAGGTTTCATCTCACCAGCACTGTGTGTTAAATTTAATTAATTCGTTTTTTTTTTGTAAACTGAAAACGTTTAAATCTTTTCAGGATAAAAGTTGTTAAATAAAGCCCTTTTGTTGTTAACATTTTTGTTATTATTACCCTTTATAGAATATGGTCAAATATCGTCCCTCTGACGTCTGATTTACGTTCGTAGGACGTCCCGTAAAGGGCCCTGTGACGTCCATAAGACGTTCATGTGCTATGTGGGTGGGTTTCAAAAAAAAATTTGGTTGTTTATTCGTAAAAACGGGCTATGTTGCAACTGGTGCTTTAAATAAGAGGAGTTAATATTGACTGATATACTTCAATTGGTTTGCCGGAAGTTATCGCTGAAACCAAAAGAAACAACAAATCGGCAAATCATTTTTCATCATGACAATTCAAGCGCTCACACAGCACGACTTCTTATTCATAATACGTGGCAAGCATTTTCCAACGCCTGAAGAGATGCCGTTGAAGCATTTAAATCACTTGTTTCGGAGCTAAACCTTGCTCAGAGTGGAAAAATTATTTCGAAATTGAGTTTATCGGATGTTATACATTTTTCACAAACTTTAGCAGTGCTCCCCGTAGAAAAAAAACTAATAATATAGTCTATATAGAAGAGAATTTTTTATTGCATTTTTTTTTTTTTTTTAGAAACGCCTAAAAGGAAAGTCTTCTTAGATTATTTACTTGAAGTGACCAATGATGATAATGTGGCATTTACAGAGCATCAATTACGACAAGAGGTTAACACATTTGTTATTGCGGTATGTATATTTATTTAAAATCAGCGAATTTGCAATAGGGACCCTTAACCACATTTATTTCCTTATTTATCACCATAACTAGCTTGTGTAGTCGAATGTGTATTTATTTTTAGTTTTCTTTTTTCAGGGCTCAGATACCACTGCTACTTCAATCTGCTATGTTTTTACCATGCTTGGCTTGCATCAAGATTTACAGGTATTCTTTAAGGACAAACCCTCGTATGTATAGTCAAAACTAAACCAACAAACATTTTGGTATGGTAGGTTAACGGCCCTTAAACGTATAGACTTTTTTATTTTTCTATGCATTACTACGTTATATGGCCATTCATCGGGAGTCTGGAATTAGCAAGAGATCATTTTTTTAATGGACGGCAGTTGACCGTCGTCACTTTACCAGTAGTAAAAGACCTGCACATGACCAATAATTTGCAATAATGTTGAGGTTAACTTATTGCAAAGTATTCAAACTAAATCTGAATCGAATCACCCTGTATTTTAAATTTGGAACCGTAAATGGGCCAGCTCATTTACCGATCAGCCGGCTCGTTGGTGGCGATACCAAGAGGAAAGCAGAGATTCCACGAAACAGCAAGGGGTCTTTCCTTTTTCCTTCGAAGAAAACAGTGTAGCTTGAATCAACTGTCAACATCGCCAACCCTACAGATACAGTCTCCCGATAATTTAAAAATACTCGTTCTGCGTTTTTGCGTTTTCGTTTCATTTTTATGTTTGCAGCTGAAATGAAAGTGAAAATAATGAAATGGGCATGAAAAATTCATCGCAATTTTAAGAATACCTCATAAAATATTTATAATATGCAATTCCTAATAAATAAAATTACAATTCAAAATAAATAATAAAAAAGGTACCTATACCTAGTTGCCATTTTACTATAATATTGTAACGTTTGTTTAATTTATTTAAAACACACTATTTACAATTTATTTATGACGTACTAATTAATTTATATAATACTTAGGCACTATTATAACTTTGTCATATTCACTGCCTTTTCTCTCAGACCATTCGTTTGCTCTCGCACCTGTCTCGAACTGAATAAGGTAGTTTGTCCATGACATCTTTCCGTCGAAAGTTGGAGCTTTAACACGAGCAGAATTTACAACTTCTTCCAATTTCAACTTTGACTTCACCTCATGGCACTTTATTTCACCGTCCTTGGCCGGTTCTGAATGTTCCAGTTCTTCTATCTTCTTTTCCATCAGTTTTATTTTCTCCTCTACAGAAGACATCTTGTTTTCCACATCAGCAGAGATTTAATTTTTTAGTGAAGACATATCAGAAGAAATTTCAACTTTTGATAAAGAGATTTTGTTTTCCAAATTGGAAGAAATTTCGGTTTTTAGAGAAGATATGTCAGAAGTCACATTTTCTTCTAAGAAATAAATGTCAAACAAAACTTTACTTTCTAAGGAAATAATATCACTTTTTACAGAAGAAACCTTTGAAGAAACTTATTATGAAATGTCAGAAGAAACTTTAGTTTCTAATTAGGAAATGTTAGAAGAAATATCTGTTTTCATAGTAGACATTTGACTTTCTAACGAAGAAATTATAGAAGACGTATCATCCGAAAATAGAAACGTTTCCGGATCCAAACCTTCGTTTTCCATTGCTTCTTTAAGCCGTTCTGTCAGCTCTGCTTTCTTTCCTGTCGTCTCCAGGACAGGGCTTCTTATGTGCGTACTCAACACGTAACGAATTAAATAGAGAGAGACATTACATACAAATCGCATTCTGTGGAACGAAGATAGTCGTCTCAACACGTTCCGAATTGAGAGATGAGAATCCCAATGCAGATCACGATCTTCTAATTCTCGAAGCAATTCAGCCACTTTTAAATTACACAGTTTTTTAACCAATTTAGTCCACTATTTATTTACAGTTCCACGTCTAATACCAATGCAACGTTTGTTTAATTAATGTATAGTTTATTTATTTAAAACACACTCTTTACAATTTATTTATGACGTACTAATTAATTTATATAATACTTAGGAACTATTATAACTATAAATTCTAATTTATTTATTACAATTTATCTTTTCTGTCCAACACTTAAATTGAATTTGCCGTCCGTCGACAACTCGCGCTATTTATATAAAGCCAACTCTGTACTAGAACTCTCCAGGCTTTCCAGAACGACCGAAAACTGCCTTTCTATGACTCATAAACCGCAAAGGGATCAATCCGGTAGTTTCTCGAAGCGCGCGTTTGTCTCTATATTGCTAACGCCGCTAGACTTCATACCGCGGACAAGGAGTAAACAAAGCACAGGGTTGGCTTTTGCGTGACAATATGTTTATTCGACTATGCTTACTACTGTCAAGATCTCCAGCTAAATGTAACACCATTTCATTGCATTTTCGATTTTTGTTTCGATGGCCGTTTTAGAAAACATATTTATTCGTGTAATTTCTAAAATGTATTTTTTTTATGTATGTTCAGCGATAATTCTTTAACACGGTATCCGATTTCAATAATTCTTTTTTTGTTAGAAAGGGGGTACTTCAGGGGTGGTCCCATATAAATTAGGTCAAAATCTAATAATTGGGTTCATGAGAAAAATCCTCAAACTCTTCATTTTTAATGTATTTTTAGCGGCAATTCTTTACCACCTTGTCCAATTTCTGTGATTCTTTTTTTGTTAGTAAGGGGGTACCTCAGTGGTGGTTCCATATAAATTTGGTGAAAATCTAATAATTGGATCCATGAGAAAATCCTCTAACTTTATTTTTAATGCATGTACAGCTATATAATTCTTTACCACTTTGTCCGATTTCTATGATTCTTTTTTGTTAGAAAGGGGATACCTCAGGGGTGGTTCCATATCAATTTGGTCCCGATCTGATGATGGCATCTGCACGATTCTGAAGTCGTTTTTTTTAAATTACTTTTATTGTTAACAAACGTATTACAGTGTCTTGCAAATTTTTTCAACCAATTCTGGAATATGCATACCTAATTATTAATTATAAATCTAGATGTGTATTTAGGCCAGTTGATGCTATGGTAAACATAAACGACATGCCTTTTAAGGTGTCTTAAGATAAGTGTAATGAGTACTTTTATTCCTAATTTTGAGTATGCTAAAAGTCAAATGCTGTACAATAGATAGGTAAGCTCGACAAACTACCTTGGTCGGGGAAACATGGAAACAATTACTTTTGCGGGGAAGGTGAAATATATGGAGATTATCCTAGATTCTAAATTCACCTTCAATTGGAAAAAACCATCAACAGAGCCATATTATCTCTCTGGACTCTTAGAAGGATATGGCAAAACATAGGAGATCAGTCCACAACTGGATTTATTGAACTGTGGTTATTCGTGGTAAAACAAGGGACTTAATGTATATCCAAAGGAAAGCTGGCTGGAATCCAGTGCCTTCCATGCGTCGCCATCACGGAGGGCAATGTCAACCACACCGACGCAAGCCATGGAGATTATGCTGGATCGAACCCCTCTCCCCATTTTGCTCCTGCTATAGACTCCTGACGGTGGGTAGTCAATGCAATGAAGATTTGCTATGAGACAAAATGGAGTAATGAGTGAGATTAATAACCACCACATCCTCGGCATGGTCTCAGGCTCGCTAGTTCTTCCACAGTGCATATAAAACTCATACAGAGTCCTCATTCCAGAGAGAGACATGTGGAGCAGGGGAAATAAAATCCTCTTTCAGGCAGACTATACGCTGTACACAGACGGCTCCAAATCTGAAAAAGGAGCGGGAGTTTTCGACCAGAAACCAAGAGTTTACACATTAATAAACCTGAGCTCTCTGGCAACGATCTTCCAAGCAGAAATGATCGATGCACAATTGAGAGCGAGATAGTTAATTGATATTCTCCCTGCTAACAAGACTATATATAAAGACTATAAAGCTAGTAACACTAATGGACTGGAGAGATATCCCAGGGTTAACTCATTCGATATAGCGTTTATACCCAAGTCCAATCCTTCTATGAACGCCTCTGCTCCGAAAATGGAGAAGAAAAGATCTTTGTGATCTAGGTATAACCGCATGAAAAAGACATATCTACAACAAATATCGGAATGTCGATTCTGCGTCGAGGCAGACGAATCCGCAATACACATATGTACCTGCTCTGCTTTGGAAATAACTATATATATAGGTTCCAGATCTTCGGATTCACCCGACTGGACTTTAAACATGTCTCACCCAATTCAACCAAGGCCTTCATCAAAAGGTGTGGCTTATACGGTGAACTATGTTAGACATTAGCCACAATAGAACCTATCTAAAAATTTGTAGAACAATAATTATTGTGCTAGAATGTGATACATGATGCACAGAAAGGTCTCATGCAAGAGCGGGAAACTAAACTACATAGATATAATAGAACAAATACATTTAAAAAATATATAACATTCACCAGTCATAACTTACTTGCTTTTTCCTTTTCCATTTAGTTTTTGTACACTTAACGCACCCTTTGTTTAAATACTTTTTTAATTTTGAGGTTAGTTATTATTGTTTAGTTACAATTGTGAGAGTGTTAAAAAGCCTTCAATGGCCAATCGATTATTAAAGTTGAAACTTCAACATAACCAAATAAAATGTAAGAAATGTGATTGTGGTAAAATGCTGGCCCAAAAAAATCAGTTAAAGAGCCCATCAAATATTAAAGTTCAGAAGGGTCATAATGATGTTATTTTTGCAAGTTACTTCACCATCACATTCGTTAAAAGCCACATCTTCAATGTCTGTTGGAAGGTTTGCCACATATTTTGTTGATCACCGAGTGTTTTTGACGATTGAGTTTATCAAATAACTTGTGTTTTAGGAAAAAGTTTACAATGAAATAATCGACGTTCTTGGTCCTGATCGACAACCTGAACCATCGGATTTGCCGAAATTTAAATACTTGGAGAGATTCATAAAAGAAACTCAACGATTATTTCCGTTAGCTGGACTAATAGCACGCGAGGTGGAAGAGGATATTAACTTAGGTAACAAATTAAACATATATAGTATAAAAAATTAATATGAAGGAAAAAGAGAAAATTTCGAAGACCGTGTCACACAAACTACGAGTGACCTTTACCCTCTTGAAAACAACTACTCCCTTGGCTAATACTCCAAAACGCCCATAGTGGGGATAAGCCGCTGTTCGCTCTCTAAATACATATTTTTTTCTACACCCACATGGATATTAGCTTATCTACACACCGACTACAAAACGAAAAGTGTGCCGTTGCGTTCAACCGAACGAATATATTTCATATCAATTATTCTACGTAGTAAGAACACTGCAAAAAATTAAATCTACCAATCACAGTTCATATTTTGGACACTCGGCTATTATTTTTTTTTTTATTTTATATAAGTGACAATTATGTCAAACTAATTGTCGGTATATTTTTTAGTTATTGACATTAAATATATTTAAAAATTAGTCATTCTTGTGTAGAATATCGATAAATAATAGATTTCTATTTTGTCTATATTTACAAATAAACCATACATTTTAATCAAACTATATGAAACCTAATTAATTACGAGTATTAAAACTAAAATGGTAAGGGTCTCCATGGAGGTAAGACCAGTGCGTTTGGTTGGTATGAGAGACGCCCAGGTTCAAATATGGGCTGGAGACTAATTAAATTAATCTTTTTTGTGTTTATTTTATATATTAGTAAATAATTTTAAAATTAGTTATTGTCTTAATAACCCAAAATAATTTTTAAAAGTTATAGACTGTTGTTAGTGGGTCGTAGAAAAAATATACTGTACAACTCGAATGGATTGTCCATATATCCACTCTTGTTGCATTTTCCTCTATACCGTATTTTTCTTTGTCAATTATTCCAAACTTTGGATTGCTTTATTTTTTATTATGTCTTCTTTTAGCTATTTGGTGCGTGGGTGCGTGCGTGCGTGCGTGCGTGTGTGTGTGTGTGTGTGTGTGTGTGTGTGTGTGTCACATAACTCATGAACCGATACACAGAAAAACACCAAATTTTAAACTTAAACTTTGTTCCAGCGTCCAATGAACTGATTAAATTTGGGCCAGAGTCGGAACATCTGTGGGGGTACTTTATAGGTGGTCATTTTTATATTTTATGTTATTTACATTTGGAGAAGAAAATTCTTTGAATAAAAGTTACTCGTCATGTTATTATCTATAATTTTTTTTCTATACAAAATTTTCCTAAAATGGTCCGTATTCGAAAAATTTGACAAAATGTGCAAAATTCTGATTTTTAAGAACTAAAAGTTGTTTGCGATATCGATCTTTATAATTGCTGCGTCTAATTATTGTGATGTATGTCTTCATTTTCGTGTTTTTTATGAGTAATTTGCTTTTAAATAATTTTTTGTTTGCATGGAAGCTTTTATTTCAAGTTTCCTGCCTCGAGTTTTAGCAACTGTGATTCCCAAATATTTAAATTTTTCCACTTCTTCGAATTCACGTTTTTTATATTTTAATACTTTTTGAGGCTGCGTTAATTACCACTATGTCAGCTGCGTATGCAACTCCCCCCTTGTTCACAACGTCCCCTTAATAATTTTCTTCATCACATATTCTAGGAAGAGGTTGTACAGAGTGGCTGCTGCCGAATATCCTTGCTTTACTACTTTATTAATTGTGAATTCTTCCGTTCCTCCTTTTTTAATGTTAATTTTTGTTCTTTATGTCGTCATTGTATTACTATATAAACATCCAGTAGGTATTTTATCTCACAATGTGTTACGTTAGGTGAGTACGTCGTACCAGCTGGAGCATCAGTCGTATTCGGTTTTCTACATACTCATACGAACGAGAAATACTGGCCGAATCCTTTCAAATTCAACCCCGATAGATTTTTGCCGGAAGAAGTGGCTAAAAGACATCCCTGTACATATGTACCATTTTCATATGGGCCTAGAAATTGTATTGGTAAGTACGATTTGTTACAAGTTGTACTAGACATGGTTGTGCTGGTTACCGATTGTCACGATTCCCTGACAGTTACAGTTTCCTACTATTTAATGAATATTATTCTTTTTAGGTCTCAAATATGCTATGATGGCTCTAAAATCTTTACTTGCCACCACTTTAAGGAAATTCAGGATATTTACATCGTACCAAAAAGTAGAAGATATAAAACTCAAAGCTCACTTAGTCTTGAGACCTAAAGATGGATATAAAGTATATATAGAGCATAGGACTTGAATAAGTTATAGGCTAAGTGTAAGGATTTTTATTTGAAATAAATAACTAAACGTATATTTTGGCATTGCATATCATTTTTCTCATTTTGACATATAAAGTGACATCTTTTGTAATCGCAGCAAGTGTCAAAATATTTACTTGATCTTTATGTAATTGGTTATGAAAAATTCATTATGTCACCAGTTGCGAAAAGAAACCAAAATTAACCGTTTTTCGTTTTAAAATCAACATATACATTGCTTCACTGCTTATTACAGTCTATATTGTGGGTTGGCTATATAAAAATTAATTTTGTCAGCGAACTTAATAATTCTGGTTTGGTCGCTATTTTAAAGCGTGTTAGGGAGTTAAAAGAGGAGATTTGATTACCGATTCGCCAGATAACACCAGAAATGTGCTGTTCGTGAATAAGAACTTTTACAGGCCAGCCCTGGATTTATAAAGAAACTGAATGGCATAATTATAGGAAGTATTGAGCAATCTCTGATTTGTGAGCATAGTTGGCAAAGATTTAGAGTAGGTTTTTTTTTGTCACATTTTGTAAGATTAGAGGTTAAAGTGTTCTGCAGACAGTGTTTAAGGTAGTTCACTCGCGACAGTCGTACATAAAAATATCGCGTAATGGTGAATACCAAAAGTTCGAGATTCTCAATGCTCATAAATTTTATTTTTGTAAGAGACTATACAAAACACATGTATATAAACACATATGGACAAGTTATAATTTTATTCAATTTCATCCGGCAAACTCGCAAATATTTAAACGATATGGTATAGAAATTTGTGACTTCCTCATACTAATTTTAAGGGTTTGTTTTGGTTCAAACAGAACCGCTGATTCCAGTTCTCAAACACAGTGGACGAATTAATTTTTCAAGAACACGTCGCGAGTTTATAACAACCTCTTAGCTGATCGAGTGTTACTTTGATACGTGAAGTGGCTACAAAGTTGCCAAGTTGTTAATTTTACGAAACTACTCGTCAACTGCTTTAAAAATATTTTTATTTTAAAAATCTATATCTTTTTACTAAGCGATTATCTATAAAATTTGATAACTTCTTGATTTATTTAACATTAGTTTTTAAAAAATATGGTAAGAACCGTTTTCGAGATATCTTGAAATAAATGCATTGCTTGTGTACATGATAGGCTTCAAGAGTGTTAATTGTGCACATTTTGATTGTTAATATCTCGTTTCACAGATGGTCAAAAAATCTAATTTTTTTTAGTTACGTAAACGACACTTTCATAAACCTTATATTTAAATTTTATTGAATTCTTAAGAAAAGCCGTTTTACGAGTGAACTACCTTAAGTTAATTTTTTTGTAAAAATAGTAAAGAAGCATATCATATACCTTCTTTTGGTAGAAATGTAGATAAAAATTAGGAAATAACTTTTAGATTACGATTTAAAAAAAAAAACATTACGAAAAATAATTTTATTCAACAAAAATAAAATCTATTACAACAACAATAATTTGATCTTAGTCTGCACTGATATTTTTGGGAAAAATCAATAACCAGTAAAAAATATTACAATAAAAAAACAAATCATTTCTAGTTTTTGCAAAATTCAAGACTAATTTCAGTAAAGAACAATATATAATTTCAACAAATTCACAACAAACAAGGCATTTTTAGCTTCAAAATTAAATTTTAAAAAAGATTTTCTTTAAATAATATTAACATCAATTTTATGCATTATTTATATTTTCAGTCAATTTCCAATATGGCACGCTCCTTAAATAGATGCAAAAACTACAAAAAAAGTAATAGACCTACTTTTTAAAAAATATTTTTTGAGACTTAAAACTGTCTTTTTACTAAATATATTTTTAATTACACTCCACGTTGATTTGGAAATTAAACTTTCGCTAAAGCTATCGCTGTTCTGCTTGGTATATACACCTAAAAAAATTACAAATTTCATAAAAGTTGAAATATTATACACTCTATTTTTCTACTAACCTGCACATAATTCCTTCTTCCACTATATCCCTCAGGCACCGTGACAAAAGTAACAGATTTATCTATCCTTCCGAACCCTCCAAATTCAGGATCATCAGAAGACAGTACAATTTTATAGGAGCCGTCTACTTCGACGCCAATCCTGTAATCCGCAAAACTCTTCGTCGGATGAAAATTGAAAACGAATAGAACTCCGGCTCTTTCAAATGCAACCACCTGGAAAGAAAATCAAATGTGTAATTTACAGAAATATTGATACGCCAGAATTGGCGCAGACATCATAAAAATTCGTAAAAAATATGTATTTTTGATTATTACTAGATAAAAACTATGGAGTGTATAATAAAAACTCAAAAACTCTAATAGTTGTCAAATCATAATTTTATCATAAATAGTAAGAGAAATCATTAAAATAAACTAAGACCTTGTCACTATTTGTCAGGCGTACCATGTACCAGAGACTCAACAATGACAATGTTGGGGATGCGCCACCAAATAAATCTTGTAAACTTACAACGGGTAAGCAAGCAGGATTTATTTCAAAAATTTCTAATTAAAAATTGTATTTTTATATACGAGTTTAAATTCGATTAAGTAGTTTAGTTACAAAATTATAAACAATTGGCCGATATTTTCGCATTTGTTATTTAGCCGCCATTATTAGAATGATCGCAATCTTAAGATTACAAATTTAATACTCTTAAAAATATACCTTATCGCCATCATGTTTCATACTGACATAAGCAGGATTATCACCCAGCCATCCATACTTCATCTCCGTGTGATTCATAGCAGCATCCCAATTGTTTAAAAACTTGTACTTAAGAATATCATTGTCTACGAGATTCCACTGTCTTCTGGCATAGTGGTAGGAACTGTTGTTACCGGCGCGGGGAAAGTCCAACCATTCTGGATGACCGAATTCGTTGCCTATGAAATTGAGGTAACCTTCCCCGCCTAAAGTATGCGTTATAAAACGGATCAACTTGTGCAAAGCAATACCGCGATCGATTATTAAAGATGGCTCTGATAAGGTGCTCATGTGAGTGTACATTTCCTTGTCCATTAACCTAAAAAAATAAATTTTAATAACCACAATAAATTTCAAATAAATAGCTTTACCAGAAAGCAATAGTTTTATCTCCAACTAAAGCTTGATCATGAGATTCGGCATAGGCAATATTGCCCTCCATCCAACGTCTGTTTGTAAGAGTATGTACAATGTTGCCAATTTCCCAACTGTCGTCAGTCTGATGTTTTAGCAGCTCGATCCATTTATCTGGAATAGCCATAGCCAATCTAAAAGAAACGTCGAAATAAGTAAGAATATCGTCAGATTGTAAATATACTACTGATCTCACCTGTAATCAAATCCCATGCAGCCTTCAGTCACAGGCCGGCACGTACCGGGCATACCAGATACGTCTTCGGCAATAGTTACAGCGTCCTTGTGCAATTTGTGAATCATATGATTCGCCATCATGAGGTACACCAACCCTTCGGTATCGACTCCCATACCAAAGTAATCGTCATAGTGACCACTGAAACCTTGACCAACACCTCTCGAATGGTACAACATAGAAGTTACACCATCGAAACGGAAACCATCGAATTGGTATTCCTCCATGTACCATCTTACGTTCGAAAGAAGAAAACGCATTACTTCGAATTCTGAATAGTTAAAGAGTCTGGAATCCCACAGGGAATGTGTGCCTCTAGGGCCAGAATGGAAATAACCTAGAAGTAGTAAGGATAGTGTTTTTAGGTGCAAATAGTAATAATAATAATAATAATAATAATAATAATAATAATAATAATAATAATAATAATAATAATAATAATAATAATAATAATAAATATTGTTTATTGAGTTACTATTATACACAACAGACCATCGACCAAAGTCCTTCAGCCTAAAGATAATTTTTACAATATTACAGTCTTTTATAATCTCAATTGATATTCAACAATATTACCTAAACAAAAAAACACTATTTTGGACATTTCTTTAGTTGTTGCATATTAAATGAAGACGCTATAATTTTCTAATTTATTACCTAAAAGTATTCTTCTGAAGATATTAATTGTTACATCTGCATATAAATGCATTTTATTAACAACTTCCATTATGTTATTAATATAGAATAAAAACAATAGTGGGTCTCAAGACACTTCCTTGGGAGATACCAGATTTATTTATTTGGAATTTTCAGTTTTTGTGCACTTTTATCCAGATAATATGTCAGCCATTGCAAAACAATTCCACAATATGCTATATTAGTGATAATGTAATTTATGTTCCACTAACAATTACATTGATAGTAGACTTTTAAAAATAGATATTATGGGTATTCATTAACATTTTAATTCTATTATTTGCAATATTGTATTCATTTAAACATTAAAAATAATTTGTTTACATCCCTTTAAACCCCTTTAAACTATCTTTAAACAATATTTAAAAAAAAACTAAAACTGTATATGACAAATTTATTGACAGAATGGTTTGTTTTTTAAAAGTTAACTGTCAGTGGATCACAAATTACATCACACTAATATATGTTTTTTGTATTAATCTAGTTGTCTATTTTACTGTATCGAGTGCCATTTGCACTTTGAAAATGTTATAAAAAATAATCAGAGTATTTTGATTCAGAACCCGTATGTAGGCATGAAGTAAATAATTGTTCGCATGCAAATATTTGCGGCAAAATATGAAGTAATCTTAGTAGAATAGACCCATCCCGGTTTAGAAGTGACAACGTGTGAAACAATAAATTCTTAAAAAGGAATGTTGGACTGCAGTAGGTATTCCAAACAAAATGTATCTTTCAACAAAGTGAAATTAATATTCAGTATACATACATTTTAACAAAAATTATTCTTAATCAAAATATCTTGTATACCTTTTAATATTACATATATTTTATATTCCTTGTACCATTTTTAAATTCATTTTTAGTTTCAGTAATTATTGTAAGATCCGCTGTACTGTATAACATGTAAATGGATTGTAGTATAAATAAAAAAATATGGTTGCCCGATAAAGATGACACACAAATCCCAATTTTACATTAAATTCTACGATTGAGTTACGTGTTTGATTGCAATAAAATTTTGTTTTACTACACACCTTTTACTTGTAGTACCCTAATTCAAAAAATGTTTTCTCGTAAAACGAGCAACTCTAGCTTTTAAATAACACTAAGGATAAAACTATTAATAAAATCACATATTATACCGTGTTTTTGTTCAAAATCTATCCTCAAAGTTACCGCTATTACTAAAATAACTTGACAGATTAGTAAACGAATATGTATGTGTGTCAAAAGTACAAAACACTAACCCTGTCAAATTCATCAAGCAATCATTTGGACAAGACGTTGAAATACCTAACTGCAGAATAATTATATGTACCTAGTTTTTCAGTGTATGTCATTATTATTTGTCATTTTTCAATAAAATTTCTTGAAATTTAGTGTCTTAATATTAAATTTGAATCTAATATTTATTCAGATATGAAGAAGTTTTTTGACGATTTAAAAGTGTGGACTTTGCAGTAAGTATTTTAAAAGTGTAATAAAAATAACAACTAAACATTACCATTAATTTTTCTTTTTACGTGTTTATTTCCGAATTTGATTTCCGAATCGGAAATACAGAGCGGACAAAAACCACTGAAATAGTCCATTTCCCTCACACATTCGATTGTCTGAGTGGAATATTTTCGTAACATCTGTTTCGGAAGCTCCCAGGTAGCCACCAAGACGTAAATGACGTCAATAGAACGTCAATTATTGGTCATTTTTGGTCACATACGTCATGGGACCAAAAAGTGACGTCTTTGGGACGTCATTCTAAGTGACGTCAGTTGGCCGTCAAGTGTAGAGACGTCTTTCTGACGTCTTTTTGTGGACAAATAATTTAAATCTTTAAAAACATCAAGTTTAATTTTTTTTATTTGTTGAAACTATGAAATGGAGAAAAACAATCCCTAGAGCCTTTAATGGTTTAAGGTTTGTTGGTAATATGGTAATACCAAAGAGTAGAGTTATACGTAATACTGATATTGATTAATTTGACATTTACGCATTGTTGTCACATTAAAAAATTTTCATATTCTCAGTATTATTGCTAACATCGTCATTTAAATAATTATTTTCTGAATACTAAAATGTTACTGCAATTATTTGATTTGAATTTAAAAGATATTGGCACTTATTAAAGGATTACAATAATAAATGTAATTAAATTGTTACCCGTTTCCTTATTTGGATTTGTAACAAAATTTTATGAGATGTCTCGTCGGCAACGCTGTCTTGATGAGTACAGGGGCAACGAATACGAACGAGTATATAACGACGAACGGCTAACCCGGTTAACCGCCAACCGCCATTACATTACCGCCAATTTGCAAAAACGACAGCAAGAACGTTCATGTAAAGGTGACGCCGATTTTGTGATTGTGACTTGAGCTGCTTTAAGGATTATCTATGAGGATTATATTTTTAAGTGAGTGTGTGTTAGTTTACATTGTTACCATGTATTATGTCATTCAGTTTGATGAAACGGGGGATAACAGTGTAGCAGTTGTAGATGAAAACTGGTTGACTCCTTTGAAGAGACAAGTTTACTGGCCCCCACTGAAAGATACAAGAATTTTTCGGCGCGCTTTGGCCGAGCATCAGGAAGTGGATTCGGAGATTTGGAAAGTTTACGGGGTAAAAAAGATATTTTTTCAAACCGGTAAGTGTATTCCTCAAATAAAACTTTTGGAGGCAATCTTTCAGTTTAAGGTAAAGGTAACCAAATTTACGGCTTTCTGCGTAACTGTTGACGCACTCAGAATGACTGTGATTTCCATTTCATGGTATATGTTGTCAGTTTTTCTTGGTTATCCAGAACAACTGATAAAAAATGATATTTGGAACTTATTTTTGACTATAAAATCCTAGAAAAAGTTGTTTATTAGAATAAAAAAAAGGGTAATCTTGTAGTTTACGGTCCTTTTAATGCGCATGTCCGCACCATTCCTGCTCTGACTCGCTCTGACAACTGGTATCACTACATGGTTGCCAGGTTTATATTAATATTTCAAATCAGGGAAAAAATTGATATAACTTTTACTTTTAATCATTTATTTACCAATTTTTACATCAATTATAAACCCCTTAAAAAGAAAAATCAAAAATGTCGGGCCGATTTTAATGTAATACGGTCACACTTTTAAATATTTTATTTTAAGTTTCCACCACACGTAAATAAACAACACAACAATACTGCGACAAAAAATAATAAACAACAATACTTAGAAAAATAAAATAAAAATTAATAATTATAAATACGAATATAACACACAATGATACGTACAAGAAAATACACAGGATGACAATTAACAAACCACTATTTTATAATACCTCGTTAAAATAAAAGTGGAAGTTTGGCAAGGATGGTACATGTTAAATTCAAATTCTAGACGTCAGTACAGAATGGTACGGACATGCGCATTAAAAGGACCGTAAACTACAAGATTACCAAAAAGAGATATTGAATTTTATTTTTTACTAGATAAAAATCTTTTATATTCATTAATTTGTTTCTTTTCGATTTCTTGCAAAATACATCCACTACAGCTTGTTGGCAACGCTGTATGCATCACATTGACATTCTCTTCATAACCTAGAATATTTGGGATACTTACCTAAACTACAAGATACTGTTTTACATATTATGATTATATGAAAACTTCCTAACAAAATGTATTTTATCTAGATGATATAGAAAAGGCCTTCCGTAAAGAGAAGGAGGCTCAAAACTTTAGTGACATCAATGACACAGACGAAAATGCAAGTAATAGACCCACAAAGAGAATCATCAGGAGGGTTATTTTAACCGATAGTGATGATAGTGATGAGGAGAGTAGATATTCCAGACCTCCACAGATCAAAATAAAGAAGTTGTCAGGTGAATTATAGCAATAATTATACATATTTTATAATTTGAACTTGAAAGATTTTATCATTTCAACAGATTTTTCAAATATTTTTTGTATTTCCACAAACCAAAATCAATTATGTTTCATTATAAGACATCTAGCTAGTAGGTACTTTAGATCAACAGTTCCAACATTCATTTTGATGGAAAAAATATTTTTTTTTGTGTATGTCACAAATATTTTTATATCATTCTTTGATAAAAAGGTTTGTTTTTTATTTTAGGTGCTATAGAAAAGCGACAAATATCTAGAACCACTGCTGTCACCCCACCTCAAAATTTACCCTCAACTCCTAAGGCATCTAGAGCATCTGCATCTGCACAAACCTCTATAACAGATTCAAGTAAATATATTTTTTAAATAAACTACCTAGGATTTTTGAAAATTTTTGGCGAACACTTTTTAGATCTGGGAAAGTTGGTCTGTTTCAGATATTAAGAACAAATGCTTTTTGTTTCCAAATAAATTAATTGATAAAAAGAATTTTATAACATTTCCTCTATTACATAATTTGTATTAAGTACAATTTGATTTTTCCCCACTTCTACAAGGTGTCTATCTACTTGGAGATTTAATTCCTAAAAAAAACAACATATTTATTGTTTTTAATATGCAGAATCGCCCAAAGAAATTTTGTTGGGTAGTTTTAGGACATATAGTTTTTGTATTAATGAGTTTTTTTATAATGTATTTAAAATAAAAAATTATAATATATTTCTACTCTTTTATTTGGAAGATGCTT